ACCATTAGTGTCTTAGTTGGGCATCAAGAAGAGAATCCAGCCTATTAAAACCTTACCACAAATCCTCTGTCAAGCAGGACACACCTTGCCTTGTGCAAGATTAATCCCAGTCTTGCTCAAATGAAAAGACATGGCAATGTATGCATGTGTACTGGCATGTCACAAGGTTTGACAGTGAAGTGTGTACATGAATGAGCCTTTAGGGAATCTCTCCCATAGAAGCCCAGGCAGTAGCAAGAAAAAACCTTACTATCACAGTCAACCTTGGCAGGAATCAATGATGAGTTTGCGCACACATAAAAGACGATAGGGGTAAAATGACAGAGTTTCAAATACAGGAAGAAAATATTCATAAAGAGATGGAAATGAAGGCTTAAATAGAAAACTACAAAATTAATGGTTCAGATATGAGAAGAGCCAAGCAGATTTGGCGAATAAATATTGCTACAGATGACCAAACGTGATTGTGAATCATATTGATTAACATCATTCAATTCACAATTTCCTGTGGAAGAGGAAAGCAATATGACTGGCTGGCTGCAGATGAAAAACCAAACCAGCCAAATAGCAACATGTCTGACCAAGACCTTCTAACAGGATTTTCCCAGGGTAATCCACACAGCTGATCAATGTCGTCCAGAGATTAATCATTGTATACAGACGTGACTATCCACAATAGGTCATCATTAATACTTTGAATACATCAACCTCTACTCACAATGATTGTAATGACATGACTGACAAGAATGTATTGACCACATGGATATTAGAGTTGGTCAACTCATATCAAGATGCTGGTCTAACATATCAAGAATAACTATTTGAGATGAACAGAAAAATTATGTGCAGCCACCTTGCATTTGTGGGTCAAAAAAGAATTCAGCTTGAGTCAAGGTTTATTTTGTATAGAAGAACATGACTGTACATTAATTGGTAATGACACAAAGAGAATATATGAGGATGAAAGAGAACAATACAAGATCTTCAGTTACTTTATATTCAAAAACTACAAGTACCAACCAGTAGCAAATGCATCCAACAGAGATCTGACCCTACCAATGACTGTGATATTTCAAAGAAATATCTATTTGATATTAAATTATACTCAAAAATCTTCTGTATCCATGTCTGCAACTATAAATGATCTCATATATGTAAATGGCCTTATATATATATATATATATATATGTGTGAATATATATATATATATATATATATATATATATATATATATATATATATATATATATATATATGTGAATATATATATATATATATATATATATATATATATATATATATATATATATATGAATATATATATATATATATATATGTGAATGGCCTTATATATATATATATATATATATATATATATATATATATATATATATGTATATATATATATATATATATATATATATATATATATATATATATATATGAATGTATATATATATATATATATGTGTGTGTGTGTGTATGGTATATATATATATATATATATATATATATATATATATATGTGTGTGTGAATATATACTATATATATATATATATGTATATATATATATATATATATATATATATATATGTGTGTGTGAATATATATATATATATATATTTATATATATATATATATATATATATATATATATATATATATATATATATATATATATGTGAATGTGAATTATATATATATATATATATATATATATATATATTAAGAAATGGACAAGGTCCGACAATTTATTTATTAGAGACATTTTTTATGTTTAACGTTGTTATTTATAGATACAAGTATTTAAGCAAATGCTCTGTTTATCATAAACAGTATTAAATAACATTTACCGGCCTGAATGTCCGAGAAATTTTCATAGAAAATATTCGTTCTTTGACAGGATTCGAACCTGCATCCTATACGGAACCGTCATTTACGCTGACGTGCCTAACCTCTGGGCCACAAAGAACCTTTCGGTAGACAAGGTCGAATTTACTGCTTATAAACTTCAATCTTCCATGAATCTTGTACATTCATAACTGCTCTGGCGTATCAAATGTAAACAAATGACGTCATATATTAAGAAATGGACAAGGTCCGACAATTTAATTATTAAAGACATTTTTTATGTTTAACGTTGTTATTTATAGATACAAGTATTTAAGCAAATGCTCTGTTTATGATAAACAGTATTAAACAACACTGCATCATGACTTGCACTTTCATACTTAAATGCCTTACTATACAATGTTGATTCCTATGCCTGCACTATATACAGGGTGTGATGGATGAATTGTCAACATTTTATATTCTTAAGTTTATGCATGCACATTGTTTGTTTGTAATTTCTGTAACCCCATCACCCCTTACATCTGGCCACCTAACTCCCCAGACAGTAACTCCTACCCCAAGGAGACTGTCCAGAAGAGATTCAGGAGATTCTGAAATCATCTGGAGGCCATGGTTAAAACAATTGGCAATTTTATTGAATAAATTTACTCTTTAGTATTTCAAGATATTTTTGTGTAATTTTGATAAATATATCTTTTAAAATGAGATGTCAGTGTTATTTTTATTTTTGCGTAATTTAGATGACAATTTATCCATCGCACCATATATATATATATATATATATATATATATATATATATATATATATATATATATATATATATATATATATATGGAGGATAACAATAATATATATATATAATATATATATATATATATATATATATATATATATATATATATGGGGGGGATAACAATATATAATGATGGATGTATCGCCATTTAAACCATTAACCTTTGCATTAGTTTTGTGTGAATAATTCATATATATATATATATGGAGGGGGGGGATATATATATATATATATATATATATATATATATATATATATATATATATATGACAAAAGTGGAAAAAGTTTTTGTGTGACATGTTTTGTTCATTAGGACTTCATCAGACAAAATGTGTCACACAAAATCTTTCCTCTGTCATACATCTTTTCCCCAATATTATATGTATATATTACTAAACTCTCCCATCGAATTTGATGTATGAGGGTCAGACAGCCCGAAACCAACACATGAGATCTGATTATAGTGGTGAAGGCTTTGTGCAGAAGCATCCACACTTTTTGAAGGGCTGAATACAGTGACCTGGTGCAGTACGTGCCACAAGGTCCCCAAACGACCCTCCACAGGTTTTGAATTCAGAGTTGTCCTTCTCCTAGACCTGTTGTCATCCAAGGCTATAGAACCCAGTCTGTCCTGCTATTTACCCATAGGAGAGGGAGGGAGAAGGAGGGAATTCATACTTTTCCCAAGAGTATTAGCACATAAGTGAATGTAATGGATTTGACTGGAATTCAAACTTGGCTCTCCGATTCCTCAATCCAAGGTGCTTTCCATTACTCCACCCTGCCTCCTCAACATATATATATATATATATATATATATATATATATATATATATATAAAAAGAAAGAAGAGTAAAATATGTAATCCAGTGTTCTTATACCTAAACACCCCCAAAAAATCTTTAAGTATACAAATAGAAAGAAATGCCGTAAGAATTTTTGCCGTTAACAATAAATTTTTTAAAAATTCCAGACGACATGCATTTAACAGATGTCAGAATTCATTGAAAAATACATCCCTACCCCTACCAAAACGTAACTAATAACTGATACAACAAAATACAGTGATGATGAACACCCAAACACCCCTTGTCTGGATGAATAGATTTCTCTGTATCCTTGGAAACATGAATTATGATTTTTGCCGTGCCTTTAAAACCCAGTAAATTTAAAAATAAGTTACTCCAAAATTTGCTTGAGGATGAAATGGAACTAATGTCTTTAATTTGATTACAAAATTAAATTCGAAGCTTTTAGCTTCCATTTTTGAAACCTGGTTAGAACTGTGTAGCGAAAAAAAACATATTTTAAATCAATTAATATATATATATATATATATATATATATATATATATATATATATATATATATATATATAGCTTTATATTTGCCAATCATATATTCAGAGTGACCCTTCACAAAAACAAAATGAACATTCCTTGCATAAACTAAACTGAAATTGATGAAGCTCTTTCAAATTTCTTTCTATTTATTGAATTTGTATCATAATTACTTGCAAATAAAAAAAGGGAAATGACTGTAATTGAATAAAATCCTATTACATCTCTAGTTGTTTTTTTTTTTGTTAGAAAATAAAGGTATCATTATTTTATGTATTAATTACTAATCTAGATTATTATTATTGGGCAGAGCATGAATACAAACATTATTATAATGAACACACCCCTATTAGTAAGTTACAAATTAAACAGGAAATTGATTTATTCTTCAAACAACAGCAATGTACCAAGAAAGATCTTGTCACATTGTTCCCATTTTGTCATTACAGTCGCAAATACAACCACAAGCAGAAATCAGTTGAATATGATATAGAATCCAAGCATGCAAAAAGAAATCAATGTAGGTTGGTCATTTCAGCCAGGAACCATTTTAGAATCGGACCAGCATATGTAAGTCACTTTGTTAACAGATAAATTGCCAAAAAATTACACTTGCATAAAATGCAAATTCCCCCATTTTGGCTTCTAAAGGAGATAAAAAATCAGTGACATTACATGTGAATGAATACAGGAAGGAATTCTGCAGAAACTTATCAGAGTGAACTCAAAAAGGTGGCAATAGCAAAAGTTTCAAGTAAGGTAAGTGTTATGGTAATTTACCCACACACGCATGGATTCCCCCAGCTATAAATAGGAGCAGGTACTGCCTTTTGGAGAGGGAAGTTTCCAGCAGTCAGCTCTGACAGTCAGACTGAACATTTTTGCTCTCATTTGTATATGTTTGTATTTTTTTTTTTTTAATATTTGTTTAACTCAGTTCATATCTTTATGTCTTTATTTCTGGCCCCTAACAAGTCCACAACGGTAAGTAATGTCAAGTATTATACATACCTTTCAATGCATTTACACCTTCATCAGTGACTTTAGTATTACCCAATAGAAGGACTTTCAAACTGTTAAAACAAAATACAATTTTGACTTTGAATACAATTCAAACATAGTATACAATATATCACTGAAAAAAAAAAAAAAAAAAAAAATTAGGGATGTTAATCAAGCAAATTAGTACCAATCAGATGAAAGGTAATCAGTACAGGTAACTGAACAGGTCATTAAATATTGAGATTAGATTTACAAGAATCAAAGACAAAGAGATGGCCACATTCTTAAAAAGGATTAAATATGGAAGAAGTAGGAAAACTTTTATAAATTCAACATATTTTGCCATTTTATTTTAGCTTTGTCAGAGATTTTGGGAAATGAGAGAAATGTAGAGACATTTTGATATTTTGAATTGTATGCTGGGTGTTTCAATAGGTGCCTAAACAACAGGTTGAGGATCACAAACAACTGTGTTTGTGAATCTGTCAACTCTTGTTGGATCACTATCAAAAGGTAATTGATACTTTCTTGAAAAGGATAATCAATTGCGGAGATGAAACCCAATCCCACCACTTTGAACTGGATAGTAAACATCCGAGTTTGGAATTTGAAACAGCTGTAATCACCAAACCAAAGAGAATTCAGAATTCAACCTTCTGTAGGAAAAGTCATGCTTTGAGCTTTTTCAAAGTCACAAGGAACAGAGGTGAAATATTATTTGGAGAGGAGCTTAGCAGTAAACAATGCACTTCACTATACGATGCTGCAAGACAAACTGAAGCCAACAATTCAAAGCAAACACCAAGGTCTCTCAATAAAAGGTGTTTTGCTTTTGCATGACAATATATATCCACATGCAGTTCAGAAACAGGAAAGAGAGATACTGAAGTATTCTTATAGTTTCCAGCTTGCTCCTTCAGATTCCAAATTGTTTGGTCATCTTAAATATGCCTTAAGGGGTTATTTATTCACAATGGACCAAGATTGGAAAAATGCAGTGCATACATGGCTGAAGAGCTAAACAGGGAATTTCTTTTGGGTTTTTTTTCTGGGACTCTATCCAGATTCATAGAACACAGGACCAAGTACATTGCAAAACAAGGATACTATATTAAAAACAAATGTATTTGTAAATTCTATCCTACGGTGTTGTTTGAATAAATAATTATATCAAAAGCGTGGGGAATTACTAACTCAGCTCATGTAGATATGACGCCAATTCAATCAGGTTTCGATCCTAGCTAGAAGCAACCGGATGTCTAGCCACACTGATGAGCTGTGATACAGCAAAACAGTCTGTCTGTGGATGACAAATATATATATATATATATATATATATATATATATATATATATATATTATTTGTTTATTTAACACTTTACTACCTTACTAGGAGAGTCCACTACATTTGTTTGTTTCTTTGTTCAACGGCATATCACCTCCTTATGGGTCATTTAATTCTTGGGAGCATTAATAATCCCCCCCCCAAATATATTGTTTTGACCACTCCACTACATAGAAATGGGTAAATTTAAAGCATGCAAAGAGACAATTTTAATAAATTTAATCTGCTTAATACAAAAATGAGGCAGGAGACATTAATGAGTTATAAGTAAAAACATGTAATATCAGATTTTTTACAAACATATAATTCCACATGTTTTTATAAATATGTAACTCACACAAAATTGTTTTATTTCTGTTTTTTTTTTTTTTTTTTTAGAAATAATTAATCTCAAATTAAATTTATATTTTAGTTTTCACAAATATTGAATTTTACATAGGCACTTAAGGGTAAAGTAGAGTGCATGCAGATGCTCAGTGAAGAGCATTTTTTAATGTAGAAAAACAAAACAGTTGTTTCAGCTCCAATGGGCTGCCATATACATAAAATGGCTCTCTTTGTAAATGTGTTTTGAATCTTAGTTTATATGTAGCAAACTGTTCCAGTGATGTAGTAGAAATGCCAGTGTGTTGTTTCAACAAATTACAAGAAAAAAGGGACTCTTAAATTGCATGAAACTCTGCAGATAAGTTAACATTTATAGCAAGATACGTTTAATTTGGTGGGGTTGGGTATATATATATATATATATATATATAAAATTATTTTTGTTTATAGTCTGAGGTATGAAATTGTTATCTCGACTTTATTTGACTTTTAGTCTAACATCGAATAAGTATTGAAAATAAACAAGAAAATGTACAGTAACAAATTTTTTGATATTTTAAAAGTACAATACAACAGAGTACTTTACTTAAATATGTCCCCATGTTTTGACAGCACAGGAAAGCAAATAAATAATTCTCTCAAAGGACCAAAGCTGACTTCTTGTAATAATTTTCACTCTGAATTCAAAGTGAAGAGAATCTAAGGTCAAAGCAATATAGGATGAAGGCTAGAATTAGACTAAGATAAAACCAGATGTCATGTAAAATTCTTTGAAAAATGTCATGTTCTAAAGTCTTCTAGAAATGGAGATACTTACGTATGGATCTTGCCAACCCCAGCCATTCCTGTATTGCCAACATTAATGTAATTTGTGAGGTCAAGGGTTGATAGGGGAATCTCTGCACAAAATAAAAATAAAAAAAAAAGTAAATAAAAAAAAAATAGCCAGAAATTTATTCAAAATAGGTGTCTTCATCTTGGTTGTTATTGTCACAAGATTGTCAGTATTTACGAGATGAGGAATTATTATTATACAATGATTTATCCCCATAATTCCACATCTCAGAAAAAATTGAAACATGAAACACTACGACTATAGCAGCCAAGATGATGATAACAATTCAAAGGAATCAGTGTACATTAATGATAATTCCTCATCTCAAAACAGACTGAAACATTGCTACTATGACTACTAATATCTGTCTATATCTCTGAGATGCGGTATTATGATGACTTACATTATTTGGACTGTTACCTTCATCTTCATTGCCATATTCACAACATTTCAGCCATTGTATGCGCTGGCCTTCTTCAGGTGATTGGAATTTCAAACCGAACCCTTTATTTTGTCCACCGGGATAGAATGTTCTAGTTCCTCAAGGACAAATGGCGCAGTGGATAAAGATATTGGTTAGATCCAGTGACTAGACCCAAAGAGATGCGAGTTCAATACCAGGCCACAGAAGCGGTGAACCAAAAACTTTGAGAGTTGAGTTAAAGGAAAATAACTGAGACATCAGGAAGAGGCATGGCATGTGGAACTAGAACAAACTACCCCGGTGGATGAAATAAAGGGTTCAGTTTGAAATTCCAATCACCTGAAGAAGGCCGGAGCATATAACAGCCGAAACATTGTGAATATGGCAATGAAGATTAGGATAATTAATTTTCCAAAACCAGACAACAAAGAAATCTTGTTGGAAAGCTCGGAATCCCCAAATACCATCAGCCCCATGCCAGTCTTGAGTAAAAGTCAATATAAGCAGAAGACTTATACAACCAGTACTAGTTAGAGAAGCAGACAAGAGACAACCATGCTTCCGAAGCTCACGTGACTTACAGCTAAAGTTCCAGACTTAGCTAGAATGAGCAAAATGTCACAATAGAATTCAAAGTGGAAGGGTTAATATTTATGTACAAAAAACTGATCCAAAGAATTTCCTGTCTTCTTTTATTTCATCTGTAAAGAACATTGATTTTTTTTTTCCTTATGACATAGCTTCACCATGGTTCAAACCAATGGTATGATTGCAAAAGACAACTCAGTCTTTGCCAGCTCCAAGATCAAAAAAATACAAATAACAGACTGAAACACTTCAATGATCAACTGATCAAGGACCAACCTGTGAGAAGTGTCATATAACCACCAAGATGAAGATAACAGTTGAAATAAATCAATGTAAAATAATTATAATTCCTCATTCTTAACCTGGTGACAAACAAAATGGTGTCAGTTAAATTTGATAATTCATCATCCAAATATGCCTATCAAGATCAGATAACAGGAAATAAACATTAAAAAATAATTTAATTCTTAAAATCCCAGTATGCCTATCTCAGGGACATTTGTTTGTTCAAAACCCACAGAACCAAACCTGCAATCTATGCATTCAGACGTTAATTACAGTCCTGTGAGTGTCAAAGTCTTCAAGTCCTTTTTCCTCATCATGTTCTCTACAAATTTCTATTGTCTCTTTCTGATTCTAATCATTTTTGTTATCATTTTCCCCTAAAACATGCCCATGAGATTGTCCAGCATCCACTACCATGTAGGAGGATGAATAGTACATAACTGTTCAGTACTATTTTTTTTGTTTCCAGTTGACCAATCATGGACATCTTTATAATATAATATATATAATATATATATATATATATATATATATATATATATATATATATATATATATATGTGTGTGTGTATATATATATATATATATATATATATATATATAAATATGTATGTATGTGTATATATATATATAAAATTAGAGATCAGCCAATTTGGCTACCGTGGTTTCAACCTTTCATTATCTTCAGGTGATTTCAGTCAATTGATTTCCTAATGCTTTATTTCTTTTTTCAAATTTAATGAATGCCATATTATTTAAAAATGAATAGATAAGATCAAATTGTGATAGAAAGGGAGGTGGAGGAGGAGGTATTGGAAATGTATCAGTGGTGGGGGTAAATGAAATATACATACTTTCTTTTCATCCTAGTTCATATGAACTGAAAAGGAACTTTTAAGTATGTACACAACAGATTATAATTTCCAATCTCTCATTCAAAAGGTTTTTTGGTTTAGAAATATTATTATACCTAACTTTTCTTGTTCACAAAGGTTGCAGATATTACTAGGATTGTTGTAAGGTTTTTTTTTTTTTTAATTTTCCAGTTTAAAAGCGGATCTTATTATTTTCCTTTAATTTTCACACATGGTCTAGCGTGAAAGATGACTTGTGATTATACCATCTCCTCTTAAAGTTACTGTCACTAGACCCTATGTATATTTTTTCTTGGACATTTGGATCTATTACTTCTGCTTTGTAAATTACTGCTTCAGTTTTGCTCTACATGTTAAATTTTAATTTTTTTTTTTATATGTGTATTGAGCACTTTTTAATACTACTATTTCCAGGTCTAATTCAAATCTGACCATTAATTTTTTCCCTATGTTGGCCTCTCAAAAGAAGAATCATAAAACGTCCACATCTGGTCAAATAAAAATTTGTAGAATCTGACAAGCTCTCTATGAAAGAAAGTTATGAATACAGTCCAGGTTTTTCAACCATCTTTGGCAGAGAATACACTCAAGATATAAACCTTTAAGTTAGCGAGATAACCTATTCTCTTTGCTACATCTTTATAATCAAAATATTTAGTAAGTGATTAAAGCAGAGTTTTTTCCCAACCTATTTTGCATCATCACACATTTTCACATGGAAAAATTTTCCACCACCCATTTATAGAGTAAATATTCAAAAGTATACAGTGGTGGGTAAATTATGTTTTGATGGGCACTTTTCCTGCCTTCATAAATTCAAGATGGGTAATGTAATAAAAAAAGGTAAAACTAATTTTATATTAAATAAAAATTATCTTTTGGTTTGTTTGTTTTACCAGCACATCAAACCTGCACAGAACATTTAATACTAAAAATCAAATTTTTATTTGATAATATTTTAAAAAGTTTTAAGTTTTATAATTCATGAAGCATAGTTGAAAACTTTATCCTGAGGTTGTTTCTTAATTTTACTGGCAAAGTTATTCTTAATCCTTCCTTAACCAATTTATAATCCACCCCCTCCAAGTTATTTGGTTTAATGTCAATGACCCTTCTCAAAACAATAGGAAATACTAAAATATTTCTTCTTTGCAGAGATATTTAGATCTTATATTGGAATGTGACTCAGTTATTCCCATCAGTTTTTTTTAATACAGGTTCTTTGCAGATCTCTTTTGAATATTTTTTTTTTCTGGTAGCATATGATGAAATACATTTTAATATTCAAAATCCTAGATTACCAATCAAAACTTCCAATTACCATTTTCTGTTCAGTTGCTCATTGTCCACCCAACAGTTGAAATTACCCACTGGTGGTTGGTATCACCCAGGTTGGGAAATCCTGGATTACAGAATAGAATCATTTCATAAGATTGTAATGTGGTCCTCAACCTTTAGTAGGTGTCAGAAAAGACACTGATGATCCAACTCTTAATAGTTTGAGTGCAAGTCAGCAAAAATTTACTCCAAAGAAATTCAACTTGATTATTCAAATCAACCAATCAAGGCCGACCAGTCGGGACCATAGATTTATTATAAACTCTGCAATCCTTTCTTTAGCGGCATAGCATGCACTTTGCCAGGGCCACATATGGTTTTGAATTCAGAGTTGTCTTTCTCCTAGACTGGTTGCCAGCCAAGTCTCAAGAGCTCAATCTGCTCCATTTAAAGAAAATAACACATTTGACTAATCTACATGTCATGAAGAAAGTTAAATATCAAAGAGAAATTATGTTTACTGCACTTATATTAAAGTGATTATTGCATGTCTACCATTGTTAGCAATTGAGAGTTTAGACCTTTCTGATTTATAGACATTAAAAACAAATGTTTAAAAAAAAATAAATAAACAAATAAAAATAAGTTGCAATTAAACTCATTATCTTTGAATTCTGATAATAAAAAATTATACAACATTTTAAAAACAAGATCAAATGTAACGTACCTGCAAGGTGCAAAATACCTACATCTGTAGTTCGATGACGGTTTGGCAATTTAATCTCTTTTAATTTTAAGCCTGCATGAGAGAAAACAGAAGATCTATTAAGAAAAGCTTAATCTCTGGCATACAAGCCTTGCATTGTTATCCAAAAAGCTCAGTGTTTACTTCCTAGTGATACTTTGATGGTACATGCAACATATTTCCTGCCCTAAAGCATGAACTTAGTTTTGATTTGATTTTTTATGGTTTATCAACCTTTTGTGGATTATTTAAAGTAGAAACATATTTTATATTCAAAGAATAATTATTTTATTTTAGTTAATATTGTATTAACAATTTTTTGAGAATAACAATGATTTTTCCAGATAAAAGTTCTACTATTTAGCTCATAGTTGGAGTGAGGAGATGGATCCATACCTTTCCAAAAGGTATTTGCATGTAAGGGAATGTAACCAGAACCTAGGATTTGCCAAGAAAAAATTAATATTAATCAACTAATTTTTTTTAATCATTTCATCTCAAGCAAGGCAATAAAGCTACTAAGATGCAATAAGTTACTGAGTATGAAAGAAAATAGAAAAACATTAATGAAAGAGAACGACAAAAGAATGAGAATTAAGAAAATAACAACTGAAATTGCACTTAAATTTTTGAACATCAAAAGTTGACTGGAAAGCAAGATACTAGAAATGAGTTCCACAGGTGAGAAGTGAGAGAAAATAAACTGTTAGCATAGAACTTAAAGTTACATCTTGCAATTTCAATTGTAAAATGATGAGACCTAGCTGCCAAACTAGCACTGAACTTAAATTTATATTTAGATATCTTTTTTATATTCAAAGATTCCTTTTCTTTATTATCTATTAATTGCCATTCTTGGGAAACATAGTGGAGTGGTTTCTTTATTGCTACTTTTAGCCTTGGATGGAACTAATCTGGAACTCTTAGATTGGTTCCATCAAAACTAAAAAAGGCCAATCTACCCTGCTATTTAATCAAGTTATCCAGGGAGAAAGAGATGGATTCGTGCCTTCCCCAAGGGCATTTATGCAAAAAGTCAAGCCCTGAATTTGAACTTAGTTTTCCAATGACATCTTCTTTATCTCTTATGTGAGGTATAGATGAAATATTTGAATATGCCTACTAAAACAGACACTTATATGAAATTTTAATACAAGATGGTTCGAAACTTTTCTATGAATTATATAAAACTAAAAACAAGATAACACCATGTTCGAAACAGATGATTGAAAAATCCAAGATATTAAATTTGAATACAATGTATATCTGAAATTTTAATATAGAGGCTATATGAAATTTTAATATGAGGTATAGCTGAAATTTTAATATAGGGGCTATATGAAATTTTAATATAGAGTATATCTGAAAATCCATTCCTCATTAGTTTAATGATCAGATCAAGGAAATAAACTTGAGTGTATATCATAGTTTACACATACTACGTATAGTATAAACATGTACGTTGTTTTCAAACTAATAGGAAATGACTGCATACCCCCCCACCTTTTTTTTTACAGGTAGAAGCAGACAAATATATGCTGGAATTTTTTTCTAGCCGGTTCTCAGTTTTATCTGACTGAGTCCCAGTCTGTCCTGTCTTGAAGTCAGAACACAACATTCACTTGGCTGCATTTGCTTTTTGCCATATTATTGTTACTTTGCCATACTGTTATTAATTTGCCTTGCATATACTGTTTGCTTGCTTTATATTATTTTTGCCCTGTTCTTTTCTCATCTTTTTCTTGTTATTACTTTTTCTTTGTCAATTCTGTTTGTTGGACAGTTCTGGCTCTGTTGAACTATTTTGACCTTGGCTACTCACACCACAGTTAATAAAAATTATTTTAAATGAGCTTTGTAAAATACTTCATAATTTTAGATAACTTAGCTAAAATGTATTAAGTGTCTAATTCTGATGAAAATCTAATATTAAAAGAGATGAAAGACAAGTGTGAACATATAAGTAAATTATAATGTTATGAACAAAAGTAGTAGATACTTACATTTGAGATAAGCTAAGGCTTGGTCGCCCATGATGTTGTCTGTGTGAGCAAGGCTCAAATACCGCAGGTTCGGATGATTACTCAAAGATCGGATGGACTCTGTGTCCACTTTAGTGTGAGAAATGTCCAACGTAATCAACTGAGTAATTTCCTCCACACCAGGGAGACTAGTAACCTAGAACAAAAGAAAAATCACACATTAAAACTAACAAGACACTGGATTCTTTACTTGAAGCTGATTTCTTTGTTGTTGATGAATTCACATTTCTATTTGCAAATCTTCAAAAGGGACATGATAGATATGGAAAGAACTGAAAGAGTTGAACAAAGTAATAAAAAAAAAAAAGATTAAGACTATAAACAAAAGAGTATTTTCATCAAATAACTGAACTGAAATTAAACAACTTGTTTTTTTATGGATTATCCACCCTTTCTGGGTTGTTATAAAGCTGAAATATATTTGGAATTGTAAGAATAATTCTTTTTGCAAGAGAATATTGCTTTATCTTTTTTTTTTTTTTTTTTTGAGAACCACAATGGTTTTGCCAGCTACAAGTCAGACAAGGAAAGATATTCCCTTTTTTTAGAGTAAAAATAAATTAAAACGATGCTGAATGCAAAGGAGACATGCTTATATTATCAATGGAGAAATGTTAATTCAGTACCAACTATGACCACTTTTAACACAAATTTAGTTTTCTACAAACATTCCTTAGCTTACAACATTATTATATTGAAACACAGGTTCCCATACAATTACCAAAGTTAGGCAACACTGACCCTGGTACTGAGCAGGCTCGATGTTGCTTAATTTTGGAAATATAGAAGTGAGAGGCTTGTAAAGTTTCATCAGTGAGAAAAGGATAGGGTTGTAGGGTGGAAAATAATTTGTCACCCACAAGGCTGCAGAGACACTTTTGGACTCTATCAAGATTAGAAAGTGAAGACTGTGCAGCTCCGGATCATATATGGCAGTAGTATTCCATTTTTGACCTGATTTGACTCTTGCAAAGGTAGAGGATAAGAGGAGGAGTCAGGTACTGATCATTTTTCCAACATCTTTAATGGAAAATTTTTCTGCAACTACCTGACAATATTTTAGATTTGATGCTGTCAACTTCCTGAAAGCTAATGCAGATCAAAGGAATTTAGAACTCAAATTTGTATCAAGAGAAATGGTTAACTTATTGCAGGTTAGGTAGGATGATTTGGAATATTAAAGTTGAAATCTGGGTTTTTTGGGGTTTTTTTTTATTATTATTATATTAAAGACGAAGCAATTATGAGACTTAGGAATGCCTAACATTTACGGGGTGCGATGGGTAAATTGTCGCCATTTTATATTTCTAATTTTGCACATGCACATTGTTTGATTTTGTTTTTATTGATTGCACAGTATAGCAGGGTCAGTTGGGCATTGTGAGAAAAAGAGCAGCATGACGTAATTTACTTTGCCAAAAATTGGTAACGGCATGCTGTACTGCTTGGCATTCATGCCAGATGCTCCAATACAAGCATTTCAGAATACTTGGCTGTCTATCTGAGAAGAGTGCAGGGGATTTGGAAAGAGTTGGTGGAGTCTAATGCTGATTAAGAAGGTATAGTTGCTCAGAAAACTCACTCTTGATAGTTCTGCTAAGAAAAGAACTCACAAATTTGTTGGTGAGGGCTTCAGACTCAACAATGAAGTCTACATCAAGTACCTTGAGGAGGTAGTACTGCCCTAGGACAAGAGGGGCGGCTATTGGAAGACCTTATGTCTGGCAACAGGACTCTGCACCATGACACACAATTACATCTGGCCACCTAACTCCCCAGACTGTAACCCCCTTCATTATTATATGTGGGGCAGAGTTGAGAGAGATCAACAAAACTCTTTGTAATACCAAAGATGAATTGAAGGCAATGATTATGGCAGCATTCACCAACTTAAACAAGGAGACCACCCAGAAGAGTTGCAGGAGATTCTGAAGTCATATGGAGGCTGTGGGTGAAGGCAATGGCAATTTTATTGAATAAAATTTACTCTTTTGCATTTCAAGATATTGTGTAATTTTGGTAAATATATGTTGAAATGTCAGTGTTATTTTCATTTTTGCATAATTTAGATGACAATTTATCAATTGCACCTTGTATATTCAAGTCTAAGCAGTTACCAGGTTTAGGAATAGGTAAATACCTATCAGGAGGCATGGTGGAGTAATGGATAGCAGCTCAGATTGAGGAATCGGAGAGCCGAGTTCAAATTCCAGTCGAATCCATTACCTTCACTTACATGCTAATACTCTTGGGAAAGGTATCCCACACCTATGGGTAAATAGCAGGACAGAACGGGTTCTATAGCCTTGGATGGCAACTAGTCTACCACAGAAAGAAATAGCAATCTACTGTGGGAAAAATCTGCCTCATCAGTCATGTATCGAAAGATACATGATCGCCTAAGCATGTATCACGCATAGCATATAACTGACTGAAATACCCATCATTTATATTCAAGTCTATAAGCATTTACTTGTTTTGTGGGCAAGTATATCAAAGGTTATACACTATCAAACAAAATCTTTAATGGAGAATGGAGAAAAATGTATTCTTAATCTAAATAAATTCATTTGTTATGCAAATATTATGCGTTAGTTTGTGAAATAAAGTTACAAGCCACAGCAACACATCATGGTTTCATTAACCCCAGTCAACACAAGATTTGCTTTTTGCAAATCCTTTAATCTAAATCTTAATTTAAATAAGACATTAAATCATTAATTCTTTTTAGGTGGCTATAGAAAACTGAATAAAACAGATTCAAAATATTTCTATTCTTACTAAAATTATTCAATTTTAAAAAAATAAGTCTACATTTTTGCAAGCAATACAGTGATTGTGGGGGGAGGTGGGGGTGTCTAAAAATTGTCTTTAAAAAAAATTAATTATTAAAAATTAAGACTTTTGGTTATATTTGGGAGAATTTTTCAGAACCCTATTCTATGTAATTTATTTATATCTCCAATGTCCCTGAAAGTATAGAGTTATTTGGGATAAGTCTATATTTCTGAGATGAGATATCGTAACTATTTACACTATTTACATTGTTTGGATTGTTGTCCTCATCTTTATCACCATATTCATATCAAGCTTGTATACAATGTGAATATGGCAATGAAGATGAGGACAACAGTCCGAACAATGTAAATAGTGTAAACTGTTTGAAACGTCTAGAGAAACAATCATATCGTTGTGATATAATTTAGCAGTCAATCAAATAAGACCTAACTGTACTTTTATTTTATTTTTCAAAAAAAAAAAAAAAAAAAAAAAAAAAAAGATTCTTTTACTTTCCAAACTAATTTTATATATTTTTAATTTTGCCATTGTATGTTTATCTCTTTTGTTTTTCAATAATTCAGAATTTCAGGGGTGGATCATCAACATTGGCATAACGGATTTGGAGAGTGGTCCGTAATGAACTCACAAGTAATGTCTTGCAAAGTCAGCATGATTATCAACATTTCCATAACAAGTGCTTAGAAAGCAGAATATGACGTAGGTAAAGTCAGTATACACAAAGGTCTATGTAAAAGTCTATGCATTATCAAAATTGCTATGCAAAAATGTATAAATATCCATTGTGTGTGTGTGTGTGTGTGTGTGTGTGTGCATGTTCATTAATTAGCCTAATTTTTTTTTCATCTTTTTCTTAACAAGTCCCTTCCCCTCTTCACACTTTGCTGCAAAGAAATCTCTCTCTCTCTCTCCCCCTCTTCCTCAAGTAAAATCAATCAGATTTAATTCTGCTGAAAGCAAATAAAACTCCATGGATGATGGCAAATGCTGATTAATTCATTAATCAAAGATGGAAGATTGGAATAAGATCAACAAAGGCGGTAATGATAATTTCCCAGCAGAGACATCTCAAAGGAAGTAACACGGAAGCAAGACAGACAACAAAGAGGACAAGAGAAAACAAAAGACGAAGGAAAAAAAAAAGATAAAGGAAAGATGTGAGAGAGAACAAATATTTTTAAATTGAACACAAAGAAAGAAAATAGCATAACTACAATTAGAAAAGGCTCAAAAGGAAAGCTTGATTTGAAAATAAAATAGAATTTTAAACCAGAATAAAATACCCAACACTATTTTGTCCAGCTGATGACTACATATACAATTAAAAGAAACCTTAGGAACAACAATCAAAAGAAGCCAGACTGAAGCCTATAGAGAAAAAGATAAAGATAAAAATTATAACAATAAAGGAATCAACTTAATCTATATGTATAATTCTCAAAATGTGTGTATGTATGTGCGCGCGAGATCAGATGTTGTTCATGCATTTCCACAGTTTTCATCTGATTTCAATGAATTTTTTTTTTTTTTTTTTGTTTGATAGATAATTCTTCAATGTCAGTTTTGAGTCCAAACTGGCTGGAAAAAATTACAACCTTGAAGGTGAAAAATAAAAAAAAATGATTTTTTACACTTTGTACAAATAATCAAAGGCAAAATTTAATGTCTGTGAAAAACAGTGTACAATCAATTTATAGAGTTGAAATCTAATGCAAAAGATTATTAGAATTATAAAAAAAATTGTATTATAAATAAAAATTTTCATATTATTACTATTATTATGACAGTCCATGGAAGAGGTTCCTTCTTTGCAAGATTAAGAACGCAAAAAACGGCCCTTTTCAGCTCACCCCTTCAAACTGTTAACCCCACCACCACCACCATTTGGGGATATGCCTCAGTTGAACCCAATTGTTGTTACTAATATTGATTTTCAGGTGGGCTGAATTTAAACTTAAACTGCTCCAATTGAATGGCAAGAATCCCAATAATGAAACACCAGGTCTAAAACGGGTTATACTGTGAGTAGCATATAAAAGTGTTTGAGAATCTAGAAATTTCCAATAAGAAAACCAGCTGAGAATAGACTTTTTTAAATTAAAAAGAGACACAATTCTTCACTGTGACTAAAAAGTTTTAACACTCTGAAGCAATCCTCAATTGAGGATCGCTTCATAACGTTAAATTTAAAGTTATTTAAATTGGATTTTATGTAAAATAAAATCCGTTCATTTCATAAGTACACAAATTTAATTTATTTATTATTAATACTCTCTCTCTAGGTATTGAGCACTATCATTATAAATAATGCCTGCTTTTAAAACACTCTTCCCAAATTACATTGGTCAATCATTTTTTTATTGAAATGTAACCTTTGTCTTTATCCAGTTGAATCCATTACATTCACTTACGTGCTAATACCCTTGGCAAAGGGTATGAATCCTCTTCTTCTCCCTCCAGCTATGGGTAAATAGCAGGATAGACTGGGTTCTATAGCCTTGGATGGCAACTGATCTACCACAGAAAGAAGTGGCAACCTACTGCGCAAAAAAATCTGCCTCGTCAGTCATGTATCGAAAGATACATGATCGCCTAAGCGTGTATCACGCATGGCAAATAACTGAGTGAATCTTTGTTAATGTTGTTGCTCATTAACTAGCTGAAATTTTTCAAATACCTCCTTTCTTATGAGAAATGATCCTTTCCCAAGAAAACATTTCTGAATGGCCAAAAAAAAAAAAAAAAAAAAAAAAAAACCTTTCATAACATTAGAAAAATGAAAACAAAAATGGTTACATCATTGTTCCTTTTCCTTTCCTTTAAACATGTCAAAATTACATCACTTAGCTTCCTCCATAGTTTCTTTCCATTCGATAATGTCAAGAGATTTACAAATAGATTTTAGAATATCCTCAAATATAAACTGGAACATTTAACATTATTTTTTTCTCAATGAAATTCATCAAGGAATGAAATGCATTGTAAAAAAAGTTTCCCCCTTGTTATTCCTTACATACATACACACACACATATATATATATATACAAGTTATGAAAAACTTGGTAATCTGTATGGGTAGTCCCAAGGAGGATGAAATCCTGAGAGCTCAATGTAAATCCAGAGCTAATAATTTAAAGAAAAACACATCACTTAAAGTGGTCTGTTTTTCTTTATTATATATATATATATATATATATATATATATATATATAATAAAAGGCTTAAACACTAATATTCCATGGTCATAATTTATTCCATTGGAATAGTAAATTTATATTGATAATATTAGTGGTAAATATACATATATATACAAAATATATAAATATATATACATATATATTGATAATATTATTAATAATATTAAATGTATATATATTTATATATTTTGCATATGTATGTGTATATTATTATATATATATATATATATATATATATATATATATATATATATATATGAATGAGAGATGTGCTAGTGGAAACACCTCTTTCCCCAACACCACAATTTTCAACTTGTGCCATATATTTGCATCTAGTACAAAATAAATACAAACACATTTGCCAGTTAATTACTTCTTAGCATAAAACTTCTAATTGCTAATTGTACTTAATATTTGTAGATTTAAGAGGGAAATTGCATTAGTAGCAAAAACAAAGTGCTGGCCTGTTATGAAAGATTTATCCTCCGATATGACAGTGAATACTGGACAATTTCTTCACAGATAATTAAGACCTGAAGCAACAGAGAATAATGGAAGCACTAATAATAATAATAAAAAGAAAAAAAAAAAACAAAACTCAATAGCATCAACTATGAACACAGCCACAATGTGCTGACCATATTTGAAAAAAAAAAAAAAAAAAACATTCCCATGACTCTAGATACAAACATAAAATATCCATACATTCAGTTAAAAATAAAAATCTTCCTTAATAATGATAAAATAGCTAAAAGTGCTCAGATATGCTCAACAATTAGAGAATTTTTACAATTTATGCCTAGAAACTAAAAGAAAGCTTAATCACAGTACCTTGTCAGTCATCTTTAATGAAAATTATATATATATATATATATATATATATATATATATATTAGGTATAAATGTGGATATAAACTAAATAATTATACATAAGCAACTGTATATACGTGCATTAGCGTGCATACACAGATAAGTGAATAAATGTATACTTAATATAAAAATTATAAACAAAACAATGTGGTTAGACAGAACAAAAAGTATATATTAATATATTAATAAATATACATATACCTACATTCATAGTGCAACTTGAAGTTTCATGGTTTTATATATATATATATATATATATATATATATATACAACTTAAAGTTTCATATATATATATGCAATAAGTTTCATATATATATATATATATATATATATATATATATATAACAGAAAAAGTACCAATGTAATCAGTATGAAAAACATTTACTAATATCAACCACATGAGAAAATATTAATAAATGTTTTTCATACTGATTACATTGGTACCTTTTTGTTTGACTTTGTTTTATTGACCAACTTATCTACTCTATTTTATAAACTATGTGAAACACACTCGGACTCTTTTTCTAATTATTGTATATGAGAGAGAGAGAGGTGTGTGTGTGTCGAAAAGGTCTTAGCCTGAGCCACTTTCCTAACATTTGACCAAAACATTAGATTTCTGCAGGAAAGTGATTCTTGTTCAAGAAGAGAACTCTCCGGTACATCTACATGGATATGCCTCAAGCAAATGGATGGATACAGACAGAAACGCATACATACAATGGCAGGCAATGAATACAACCTGATATATGTTAATGAGATGAATTTTAAGCTCAATTTTTTACTGTAAAATGTTTGATTTATGTAATTAATATCCATCACTGAATTAAGTACATTGACAAAGGATTATGTTAAAAAATAATTTTCTGAAATAAATGCTTTTTTATTTTTTTTTATAATCATGTTCAAATATTGAAATTTTGTAGGGAATTGCTTCTTGGTCAAACTGGGAATTTCAGCACTCCCTCATTATTGGTTTTATAGTTTTTAAAAAGATGAGAGAGTATCTAAGGACTAGAAATATAATGAAAAGGAGAAATAACAACATTCTACACTTACATGCTGGCAGGCACATGCAAATATAAACAGACACACACTATGAAAAGGAAAAAATATAAATAAATAAAAAAAAAAAAAAAATAAACCTTGCACCAATGAAAAGTGCATATATAAAAAAAAAAAAAAAAAACACGAAATATAAACAGTCAATTTCTGATACCCCCTGACGAGTGGACGGAGTGATTGCCGGAGGAACCATCCACACAACTCTGGAGTTGGGATGCTGAAGGTCACACCAATAAGTGACAAGCTTTATATTTGTATTAATTATATATATAGTCAACGACAAAATTATTTGTACACCGAAACATTTTGAATGTTTTTATGCATTTCTCAGAATCCAATGCCCATATTATGTCAGGATTTTTACATGTTAATAAGCACAAAAAATGAAATATAAAACTCAATTTTCAGAACAATAGCATTAATACGACAAATTTAACAGGTGAATTATGCAAAATAGGAAAAGATAAAATTATTCGTACAGTAGAAAATATCGTTTAAAATAGATTGATTCCTGGAAGTATAAGTAATTTACATAATTATTTTGTCAGGGAAGCCTTCTAGACTATTTATTCAGTAGAATATTTATGATAATTCTAGCAAAGAACATTATGTTGTGCATAGTGTTACCATTGTTATTCTTACGTTAACAACATGATGGGGAAGACAAAGGAGCTTAGTGTTGACTTGAGACAGAATTCTGGACTTCCACAAATTGGGAAATAGTTACAGCGCTATTTCAAAATGATTAGCTATCCTTAGATCTATGGTACAGCATGTTATAAAGAAGTTTAAACAGTTTGGCATGAAAGAAAACACAAATTGTCACTGAAATCTGCATGAAAACTGTTGCAAGTTTAATATAAACCAAAGAGTTGTTTTGAAAGACATCGGCAAAAGTTTGGATACGATGGGTATCAGCCTAAGTACTTACACAATAGAATGTTGCTTAAACAGAAATGGGTTGTATGGAAACCGACCATTACGGACCCATCTTCACAAACCATGTCACATTGCTGCTCAGTTTAATTTTGCCAAAACATTCTTGGACAAGGAAAATTGATTTTGGGAACAAGTACTATGGAGCTTTTTGGACAGAAGATTTGGCAAAAGAAAGGTGAGGCTTTCCTCCCAAAGAAGATGTGGCAACATAAAAACATGGAGGTGGTTCGATGATGTTGTGGGGTTGTTTTAGCCCAAGGCAGACTGGGCAATTAATTGCAATAAAATAAATAATGAAATCTGCAGGCACATTTTATTTACAATTAAGATTTAATGTGCAAACCAATTGATGAGAGATTTAACATATACTTTTTAATAAATAAAAATGGAGCATATATTTCGCTATAATAACATCTGGAGTTATATATATTATAAATTAATTGATTTAAAATATTTTTTTTTCGCTACACAGTTCTAACCATGTTTCAAAAATGGAAGCTGAAAGCACCAAATTTAATTTTGCAATTAAATTAAAGACATTAGTTCCATTTCATCTTCATGTGAATTGAGGATGAAATGGAACTAACTAATTGCAAAATTAATTTGGTGCTTTCAAAATTAAAAAAACATTTTACCTAAATGAATTAATTATGATATTAATATAAATTTACATTGAGCATTATTTTGTAAAAATAAAAAATATCTTTAAGAAGACAGGATTATATAACTTAATGTTTTTTTTTTTTTTATATATATATATATATATATATATATATATATATATATATATATATATATATTATGAAAATGGACAAAGTCTGATAATTATTTTTAAGAACATATAAACATAAAAAATGTCTTAAAATATATATTATTTGCTGAGAAGATTTTTAAAATGTTTTCTTAGAATCTATGAACTAAAGTACATCATTTTATGCTTGATAACACTGTTTCCTCTTCTTTCTCATCTTTTTTCCCCCTATACACAAATTGCATTATACAAAGGTCATCTTTTTTGAAGTGGTTAAAAATCATACATTTTCGGCGATCAGTTGCACTATACACAGGTAAATTTTTACATGGCCAAAAATTCAGGAGTTGCACTATACTTGAAGTCAGCTTATATGTACTGTAAGCAGAAGAATTTAAAAATAAAAAGGAAAGAGAAAATTTGGATATGCCTCATGACTGCTAATCATAAAAGTACAAAGCAAAGCACCTTGATAGGCAGAAATAGTTATTAAGCTTAGTCTGTTTGACTATTATTACTGGGTAATGAATTCAATTTTCACAGAGTGGCCCCAATACATAATATAACCCAACAAGGGTTAAGCTATCATAAAAACAATCAACCAACTATCAACGAAACTGCAACACAAACTAACAATTTTTACTGGACACAATTGATAAGAAAATTGAGAAGCTTCTTGCTATTTTTCCATAAGAATCTACCATTCTGTTTCATTTTAGAATTTTCTTTTACAAAAGAATAGTGCTTGTTCATTTTAATCTCTCTAATGGATTATGAGTAGAGTTTCCTTTGTGACTGTCAGGTGTCATTGACAGAAGAGGAGTGATAACACATCACATGCTCTACAGGTGAAAAAAAAAAGGAAAAGTTAATGGGAGGTTTAATAATCAAGGAAAGTGTGAAGACATAGATCAGTTTTTGAGGATGAATCATCAGATATAATTGGTTTAAGACATCAGAAAAATATTTAAGAAAACTCACTAGAAAGATGTAAACAAAGAGAGAGAAAAAGGAAATAAAGAGAAAAATGTTAAAAGGAGGAAGAAAGAGGAAAGAAGGGGGAAAGAAAGAAAGTGGGGAAGAAGAGGAAAAAAACGAAAGAAAAGGGGAATGGAGAAAATATGAGAGGAAAGGAGGGGATAAAAATGAAGGAAAAAAGGGGAGAAAAAGAAAAGAAAAAACAAAGGGAAAAAGGAGGAGAAAGCAAAAAGGAAAAGGTGAGAAATAAGGAGAAGGAAAAAGAAGGTGAGAAATAAGGAGAAGGAAAAAGAAGGTGAGAAATAAGGAGAAGGAAAAAGAAGGTGAGAAATAAGGAGAAGGAAAAAGGTGAGAAATAAGGAGAAGGAAAAAGTGAGAAAAAAGGAGAAGGAAAAAGTGAGAAAAAAGGAGAAGGAAAAAGTGAGAAAAAAGGAGAAGGAAAAAGTGAGAAAAAAGGAGAAGGAAAAAGTGAGAAAAAAGGAGAAGGAAAAAGAAGGTGAGAAATAAGGAGAAGGAAAAAGTGAGAAAAAAGAAGGAAAAAGTGAGAAAAAAGAAGAAGGAAAAAGAAGGTGAGAAAAAGTAAAAGAAGGTGAGAAAAAAATAAGTTTACAAGAAGAGTAGTCAAAAAGTAAGGGCAAAAAGAAGGAAAAAAGAAAAAGGAAAAACTTGGAAAAGGATAGAAAAGAAAAAAAAGGAAAAATATTGTGGCAAAAATGAAAGGGGGGGAAAATGAAAAGGAAATGTACAAGAAGAGTCATAAAATGTGAGAGCAAGACAAATAAAAAACTTATAGTGTAATCAAGAAGGGAGAGACTAAGGCTAAAATCAAAAAAAGAACAGGAAAACAAAGGCCAAACTCAGTCACAAGAAAAGACGGACCGACAAAGAGGCAATTGTTTTAGTTTGTGGATGTTCCAGCTGAACTTTAATAACAGTGAAATGAAACAACAACGACAAAAAAGTAAAATCAACCCCATTGTTTGTTAAGAATGGGGAAGAAAACCCAATCCATTTTGCTGGATTTCTACAAAAGTACAACACTGAAGGAAATGAGAAAAAGCAGTGAACATTTCTTTGTTCTTCTTAAAGGCAAAGCAATAAGAAAATCATAGGCATTATTCATAAACAATGACAACAATAAAGGAATAACTTTATTCTTAATATCAGCAATGATGATGCTTTTTTGAAAAGACAAATACAATTGATAATGATGATAAACAAAGACAAGAAATCAAATTAATATAATATTTAATAAAATTCATAATTACACTAACAGTCAATATGCATAACATATTACAGGTTCTCCTATTTGCTCTTTTAATCAAAAGAAAATATAGAGAAAGATAAAGAGAGGAAAGAATTATATGAATTACAATTTCTCAAGACAAGACAAAATAATGAAGAGAATAAAAAAGTGAGTGATGAAAAGGGTAACAGAGAGAGAGAGAGAGAGTGATGTGGTGGAAAGAAAAAAAATTGGGGACAAATGAAAAAAAATGAGAGAGAAAAAAAGGGAGAAAATTGCAAGAAAAAGCAGAGAAAAAGGAGAAGGAATAAAAAAAACATTGGGAAGAGAAAATAAATAAAATCAAAAGTAATGAAATTGCTAAATAGAGAAAATTATAAGAAAGAAAGAAAAGAGAAAGGAAAAACAGAAAAAAGAAAAGAAAGAAAGAAAAAAAGAAAGAAAAAAAAGAAAGAAAGAAAAAAAAAGAAAAGAAAAAAAAAAGAAAGAAAGAAAAAGAAAAAAAAGAAAAAGAAAGAAAAAAAAGAAAGAAAAAAAAAAAAGAAAAAGAAAAGAAAAAAAGAGAAAAGAAAAGAAAAAGAGAAAGAAAGAAAAAAGAAAAGAAAAAAAAGAGAAAAAAAGAAAAAAAAGAAAAAAAAAAAAGAGAAAGAAAGAAAAAGAAAAAGCAAAAGAAAAAGAAAAAGAAAGAAAGAAAAAAGAAATAGAAAAAAAAAAAAAAGAAAGAAAAGAAAGAAAAAGAGAAAAAGAAAAGAAAGAAAAAGAGAAAAGAAAAAGAAAGAGAAAGAAAAGAAAAAGAAAAGAAAGAAAAGAAAGAGAAGAAAAAAGAAATAGAGAAAAAAGAGAAGAAAGGAGAAAGAAAGAGAAAGAAAAAGAAAAGAGAAAGAAAGAAAAGAAAAAAGAAAAAGAAAGAGAAAAAAAAGAAATAGAGAAAGAAAGAGAAAGAAAAAAAGAAATAGAAAGAGAAAGAAAGAGAAAAAAAAAGAAATAGAGAAAAAGAAAGAGAAAGAAAAAATAAAAGAACTAGAGAAAGAAAAGAAAGAAAAAAGAAAAGAAAAAAGAAAGAGAAAGAAAAAAGAAAATAAAGAAAGAGAAAGAAAAAGAAAAAAAAGAAAGAGAAAAGAAATAAAAGAAAAGAGAAAGAAAAAGAAAAAAAGAAAAAGAAAAGAAAAAAAATAGAAAGAAAAGAAAAAAGAGAAAGAAAAAGAAATAGAGAAAGAAAGAAAGAAAAAAAAGAAATAGAGAAAGAAAGAGAAAGAAAAAGAAATAGAGAAAGAAAGAGAAAGAAAAAGAAACAGAGAAAGAAAGAGAAAGAAAAAGAAAGAAAGAAAGAGAAAGAAAAAGAAACAGAGAAAGAAAAAGAAACAGAAAGAAAAAGAGAGAAAGAAAAAGAAATAGAGAAAGAAAAAGAAGAGAGAAAGAAATAGAAAAGAAAAGAAAGGAAAAAAAATAGAAAAAAGAGGAAAAAAAAAAAGAAAAAGGAAAAAAGAGGGAAAGAAAAAAGAGGAAAGAAAAAGAAAAAAAGAAGGAAAGAAGAAAAGAAAAGAAAAGAAAGAAAAAAGATGTGGCAGAAGATTAAAAATCTGAAATAAAATGATAAACAGTGAGAAAGTGTAAATGAATAAGGAATCAAACGAGATAAAAAAAAAAGCAAAAAAACAGAAGGCGACAAAAACAAAAGAATCAAAGAATTCAGTTTGAGATGAATAGAAGAAATAAGAAAGAATCAAGAATTACAAAATAAGGAAGAGTGAAATTGGAGAAACAAAGAAGTAAAGAGGGCAGATTGACATTTCTAAAGACAATTGTTGCTAAACACAACGATGTTCAGATAATTTTTTTTTTCTAGAACACCCCCATCCCAAGCCTTTGGCTTTTTAAAGAGTATTTGGGAGCAAGGTTGCCTGGTATCTTTTGAATAGAATTAAATCTATAGCTTTTGACTGATAAATCAATATTAAACCGCTTATCATTCAGATCAACATCCATAGTATTTTATAGAAACAAAAGGTATTATCAATAAATGACTAATTTTAGATATATCAAAAACATTTTTCATTGAAAGTTGTCTCACTGAAGATAATAGTTCTTAAAAAAAGATAAAAGGGGTCATTGTTCTTGTGAGAGCTCACATCTCTGAAAATTTTGAATACAAGCAATCAGACTATGTTTAAGGCTCCAGGTTCTACACTCAGGATTGTCCCACAGAACAATAGCATAGTTGATAATAGCATTGGTTTATGAGTTCAATCCCTACACCAGATAATGTAACAGAGACTCAGTGGAAACTGAATGAGCAATAAGTGAACAGTTCTAAGTAAGAACAAGACAAGATATCCCTAGACATGAATAGTGGAATGAGAACAATCTACTCCCATAGATCTAATTTGAAATTTCCTGAAGATTACTTGGATCGACAGACATCTGAAGAAGGCCAGAGAGCACAACTATCAAAATGTGGTGGTAATAACAACAAAGATTATTGATTGATTCATTCATTCATTCATTCATTTATTTTTCACGGTTTATCAACCCTTTCCAGGTTATTTAAAGTCAGAATATAACAACAAAAATGATTGATTGATTGATTGACAGTCTTAGACTCAGTGGAAACAGAATGAGCAATAACTGAGCAGCCTTAAATAAGAACAAGATATCCCTGGACATGATCGACTAAATGAAAAAAATCTACTCCCGTAAATTAAATAACAGGCCCAGTTCAAAATTTCCTGAACCTTAGCTGGATCAACAGGCATCTGAAGACCAGAAAGCACAAAGGCTGAAATGATATGACAATTATAACAATGACAAAGACAATAGTATGATTGTAAATAATGATAACTCATCATCCCAAAACTTCAGACAGAAACAAAAATTAGCTAGTTACTTAAGAGCAACATTGTAAAGGTGCTCATTTTAGCCAGAATACAATTTGCTAAACACCCAAAAGTGATTCATTCCAATAAAAAGTTGAAAGATAAAAATAGGAGTAGATAAGTTTGCCTATCATCTGATCCACACCCCTGCCGATCTTTTGAACAAGAGTAAAGGTTTCATCTCTAGTTTCCTGATTCTTTGTAACATTTACTTTAGACTTACAACAACTCCAATTTTATTCATTAACTAGCAGCATGGCCCAGCATGCCTGTGCTTGATTCAAAAATCGTACGACTCATACAGCAATCGCTATCACTTGACTTAAAATATTTTTGCCCTTCCATGCCTTTAAAGGAGTGACCTTTGCCATGCTGATGTTGCTACATGCCTTACTTCTTGCCTATATCACACTGCAAATTTTTTCTAAGCTCTATACTAAACATTAAATCTGTTACAAAAAAAGAACTAAGCAAAATGAACACCAAACGATCAGCTTTAAAAAAGGACTCGTAACTGGAAAAAATGAATGAAAAAAGAATGTTAACAACAAATACTTTTTCACGCCCAACCCAGTTCTGTGGAATCAGAATCAATGTTGAGTTTAAGCAAGCGAATGGGCAAATTGGAGTAAAGTGCCATGCAGATTTAAATTTTTCCCACTTATGACAAATGCAGCTATTGATTTTTTTGCATGCTAGCATGCTAGTTAACATTCGTGTCAGTCAGCTGTTGGCTCTCACGCTGGCCAATAGAATCTTCCTGCCTATTCATGGCAGCCAGCTATTGGCTCTCACTCTGGCCAGTAGAAAATGGCTGCAAACTACATGGAAACTGCCGTAGAAGCATGAAAAAAAATCAACTATTTCCACTATCGATGGGAGTTGGGAAATGCAAAGTGGGTCTTGACCTTCTCGCTAACTTGGAGCATGTGCATGTAAATTTTGGTGCAAATCCGTTGAAAATTGTGGCCGTGCATTCGTTACACACACACACACACACACACACACACACACATCCTGCCTTTTATAGATAGATAGATTAAATCTCAACCTCTTCAAGTGTAGAGTTAACCGTTATCTTTCCTGCATAGTCCCAAGAACTTTAGTTCTTGACTGTCTTTACACTCATACAAAACTACAAAGTAACACTCTACCTTGAGTGGTTCTTGGGTTTATATTGGGCTAAGATTAATAAAAAAACAAACAAACAAAAAACTGCCATAAAGTAGAAAATAACTTACCATGGACTGCTCTAATAACAAAACCTTCAACTTGGGTAATTCTGAAAGAGAGCAAGAAATGTTAGCAATCAATAACAATCGATTGAAAGAAAATTTCATAGGAAAAGCTGAACTAAAAGCAAGAAAAAAAGTTGCCTTTTATTAATCACAAATAAGATTAATAAATGATAACATTAAGGAAGAATAAAAAGATTAAATCTACTGCGTATATACATCCTTCTTGAATACAAAACATACAGAAAAAATAAATTCTTGATTAAACAAACTTCATTAAAATGAGAAATATAAATTGAACTAAAAGAGAAAATAAATAAAAAATAAATCTTTTGACACAAAAGTAGTGCAGTTCTCCAAAATGAGAAAGTTTTAAAAAAATCATTACAAGCTTATTGTAAATATGTCAATATGAACTATTATGCTGGGAGGTGGAGGGTGTGCAAAAAAGGGGCAAAGAAGTACAAAGGATAGCAACAAGAAAGAAAAGGAATCAATTTAAGAAGCAAACAGAAGCTGAATACACGACAAAATAATAAAGTTACTTTCACTAAGCAGAAAAAGTTCCTGTTAATATAGTCACAACTATTCTGACAAAGACATTGAACAAAAAAGAAAGTTGCCTAGCAAGATATAAAATGCACCAAATACTGATTTATTTAAGAATGAATATTACTTTTAGATGTTTATTGCCTAATATGCATTTCTCTATGTCAAAAAAATAACAAAAAAAACATTAATTTGTAGAAAACATGAATGCAAAAATGCTTCAAGTTCATTGTCAATAATCAAATCAAAGTTCTTAATGATTATAAATCTAGGCCAATGCAGAGTCAAAACAGTTGGAAATGATCAAGAGTAACACTAATATATAAAGCTATTGGGTTCTACAGAAAGATGCTGAGAATACCATGGGTGCAGCATGTGAACAATGAGAAAGTTTTAATTGATTGATTTGTTTTTTTTTTACAGCTTATCAACTATTTCCAGGTTATTTAAAGCCAGAAAATATTCTCAGATTATAAGAAACTTTTGGAGATTTTTTACCAATAATAATATTCCTACTAATTAATCCATAGCATGTATAGAAAGATACATGATTGCCTAAGTGTGTATCATGCATGGCGCATAACTGACTGACTAAGATATTAACATATAATAAAATAATAATCTATTCAGGTATATGGGTTGTTTTCTTAATCAACTGTCCTTCTATAGCTTTTGGATTTATTTATAAATAGAAATTTATGTTGCACTAAAACCTAACATTCCCCAAACAAGTTATTGACAATATTTTTAATAGGGATAGATATTATTAGTTGAAAGACACAGAAAATATTGCACACCTAAATGCAAATATATATTGAAAATTTTGCCAACATCAGATTTTTAATATTGATTTTATTGCGAAAACATTGACTTGTGTAATGAAATCTGATATATTACACAAATCAATGTTTTCACAATAAAATCAATATTAAAAATCTGAATGAATGAATCAAAGTTGATCTGAACAAGATCAAATGTACTAATCAAAGAGTTAAAAATTGATAACGGTCAAATTGATGCCAAAATTAAAAAAGAAAGATCAGATCCTTTTCAATGAAGTCAAGTTTATGAAACAGGGATCATTTAGTTGAGAGGATATGTACACAGAAATGTCAAGATTACTTACTAATCAGTGTTGCCTATAAAATGGAGATCATTTGTGAATTATTGGTTACTCTTGAACATGCATGATCTTCTAGAGTCAGAGCCATGTTGATAAAATAACTAATTTTCTTTTTTGTGTGATGTTAATTTCGTTGATGATTTATTCCAGATTTATTATCTCTAAAAGTTAGTCAATATGACATTAAAGAATACGTTTGGCTTTGGTTATAAGAGTCAGATTGTAAATATGATTTCTATCAATAACATCAGTGTGGATGGTACAGTATTAAAAAAAAAACACTTTTATATGATAACTAATATGGTCTAGTTGTTTATAGTTGAATAATTTAGTGTTGGATATTTTTACACATGGCACAAAACCTGAGTTGAGTTACGTTTTTTTGTATTTAAGAGCACTTTAACACCAGGGTGTTACACCCCAAAAATTTGTAAAGTTTTTGAAAAATTAATTTTATTTACATGTACATGTGGACACAGAGGGAGTTATATTTTCTTATACAGTTTAAATTTTTGTAAAAATTCATATATTGGGCTGGGATGAATTTTGTTGAATAATTCCTTGAAATTTTTGACTTGATAGTATATGAATTGGGTTACGTTTGGATCATTACATTATATAAAGAAATGACACCAGTTGTGTGGCTCAAGTCACACTATACACATGGGTATTTTTTTTTTCTTAAGTATATATGAGTGGGTTATGACCTATGTGGAGGCTGTTCAAAAGCACTTCCTTTTTCCTGTATATCAATGGTTTCAATGTTGTTCTTTAGTCATTGCTTGGATTCAGTGTAACATTTTATTTGGATAAGAGTTCTTGATATTGGCCAATAAAATAAAATCATGTTAATTCCCGAAACAGACAAAATCAGAGTTCAAACTCTTGCTGAAACAGTCTGCATTCACCTTGCACTAATATTCTTGGGAAAGACATGAACACACTTTTCCCTCTGTGCAGCACAATTGGAACCCTTCAGCCCTACGAGACAGTCTATCTTGTTCATCAAGCTAGCAATCTGGACCATTAAAAATGCACTTGCTTTTGAAAGCGCAGCAACATCACTTTATGTGATCATGGCCTTCCCTATGCTCCACAGAGAATTTGTAGGAAGAAATTAACTATGATCTAGTATCATTTAGCATTGGATGTTTTTATATAGAGCACAAAACTTGAGTTAAGTTAGGTTTTTTGTATTTAACAGCATTTGAATACCAGGGTGTTTTATCATGCCATAAAGGTTTGTAACTTTCTGAAAATTATTTTATATATATATATATATATATATATATATATATATATATATACAAACACATATATAATTATAGGGAGTTATATTTTGTTATACAATTTAACTTTTTGTAACAATTTGTATATTGTGTTGGGTTGAATTTTGTTGAATAGTTTCATTAAACTATTTACATTATTTGGATTATTGTCCTCATCTTTCTCGACATATTTATTACAATGTTTCAGCCATTGTACACTCCAGCCTTCTTCAGGTAGTTGGAATGTCAAACTGAACCCTTTATTTTGCTCACTGGGGTAGACTGTTCTAGTTCCACGTGCCATGTTTAATGGATGTCAGTTATCAGTTATCTCCTGTTAATTCCCCTCTCCAAGTTCTCCACTGCCTTAACCAGGTATTGAACTCACACTCTTTGGGTCTTGTCACTGGATCTAACCAACGCCTTTATCAACTGTGCCAGGTGTCATTTCAGAAATATAGACAGATTCCATTAAACTATCTTAATTTATTACTTGATAATATCCGAGTTGGGTTAGGTTCAATTCATCACTTTATTAAGATATGCAGTGTATGGCTCAAGACAAGCTGTACACAAGGGAGGTTCTACATTTTTAAAAAGATGTGAGTGGGGGTTTATTTGTGTATGTTCCATTTGAAACATGGTCATAACCACTTCCTCTTTTCATGTAACATAAATTTAAGCACTGATTGGCAACAAGGTCTCATTTTACAGTTGAAATCACTAGATGTAACCATAAATTCTATGCTAACAGCTTCTTTTTTTTTTTTTCACACTTCTCACTCTTGGAACTCACTTCTGGCTTCTTGCTTTCAAGTCAAATTTTATCTGCAAAAATGTAAATGCAATATCAAACATTTGCTTCTGTCTCCTTAATTAATTTTCTTTTATTGTTCTCACTCTTTAATAACGTTTTTCCTTTCACACTTTGTAATCCCTTGCATCCTTAGTGGCTTTATTGCCTTGCTTGGAGTGAAATGATAAAAATATATATATACAGAGATTGGTTATTGTTCTCCAATGGTAGGTTGGATTCATTGTAACTTATTTAGATAAGAGTGAGGAAAATGTTAATGACATTTGTGTGACAAAAAAATTGCAAAAAACAAACCCAAAAATATATTCCCACCATTCCCCACCCAAAAATAACCTTGTTGTGTCAATGCATTAGATGTAAAATTTCAGCAGAATTAGCTCAAGCCTGCTCAAGAGATGAAGGCCTCTAAGAGATAAAATGATGTTAGAAAAGTTAAGACAGGGATTCATCTGAAAATATACAACATGCATTAAAAGGGAAAAAGCAATGTTACACTGATAAGATTTTAATCTTGTTTCCCTTGTTGCAGGGACAACTGTACCTGTGAGAGGTCCAAAGATTTTTTGTGTCACAGCTGTCCGATTTAGATTGAGGCACTTCAAGTTAGGAGGTTGATGAATTGAAATGTCTGTAATGTACTGAATGATGCCAGCATCCGTGACTCCAGTGTTCTCCAGCACCAGTGTAGCTAGTGACTGCAAAGCTAGAAAATTAAAAATATTTAATAAAATAAATAACCATTTGACAATCAAATTTTTGACAACCATTAAAAAAAAAATATCAGGGAAATCTTTTTAAAAAGCAATTAATGTTTTAAAAATGTTTTTCATTTCTTTTGTAAGCTTATACATGAGGAAAGAAGGCTTTGTGAATTTAATACTGACATGGAATATCAAAGACAAAAGAAGCAGGACAAGCAACAAGAAATCTACTTGACAAGTTTGTGTTATGGTTAGCAGGATAAGTACAATAAAGAAAAAAGTCATAAATGAGCAAGTATTGCTGAAAGTAACAAAAGACAGAAAGCTGTGGAGAGCCATGATCAAACATATCCTGAAGAGACTTGAAACAAAAAAAAGGATATATTCTTGGAGTTTTGTTTTCAGAAACTCGATGGTTATCACATGCTGTTGATATCTCTGTTCTACAAGCAGAGGCAGCTGAAACTTCTGTGACACTTAGTGAAGAAAGAAAGCTTAGAGAATTTAATGCTCAAAGGGTATAAGAAAAGAGCATGAAACCTATTTGACAAGTATGAGCAAAAGAATGGAGGAACAAGTAAAACAAAAATAACAATGGGTGTAAATGGAAGTATTGCTGAAAGTAACAAAAGACAGGAAGCTGTGGAGAGCCATGTCAAAGTGAGAGAGAGTAATGCTCTATTGTATCTTTTGAATATTCTAGCTCCTTTGAAAGATTTTGAGTCATGTTTTCCTCTACTTTGTGTTTTAAAGCATCATAATTGACACCTGCTGAGCATTCACTTGTAGACTTTATTTCAAGAAACAAGTCAACACTTCTGAAAACTTTAAACTACTTTCGATCAGTATGCTCAGATACCATTTCATTATTTACTTCCCTTTCCAAAATTCTTTTATCAGCTTCACCAGCTTTGAGACCCAGTTTAAAATAACACCTCAAAATTGCCAGAATCCTCTCAATACTTTTATCTACCATTATAACACATGAAACAAAGATACAACTGGATAATAGTGATAACAATTTTACACTATATATATATATATATATATATATATATGTGTGTGTGTATATATATATATATATATATATATATATATATATATATATATATATATATATATATATATATATATATATATATGTGTGTATATGTATATATATATATATATATATATATAAATCACATTACTGGAAACATCTCACTGTAAGAGTGACCTTATATATTAAACATCACTTTCCCACTATCAACCTCACCTTATTAAACAGTGGGAATAGAATGTTGAAAATTTTTAAAAAATAGAGACACTCACTCTAATTTCAGCTGTGCTCAACATACAAAGGCTTAGAATAAATGCTCATAATAGTATATAAAACAACACAAAATAAAATACCATATTAAATAGTCAAAACATGAAGAGAAACCTAAAACAAACCCCCTTAAAAATAGCTAAAGAATTGGCTGGAATGATGGACAATTTTTGTATTCCCTCACTCCTAGTACATTGGAAAAACTAAATAAAAAATTAATTAAATTTTCTTCGTTTGTCATACTTAACAAAAGATGTTTAAAAGAAAGATTGCTGCCCAAAAGACAAAGTGGAAAAAGTGATGTGTTTCAGCCTTCAGGACAGCACCAGATGAAATTTGTGATATTGGTATGACTACACATGAACACAACAGACAGGTGCTGGGAATTTTAGAATTTTTTTTTTCTTTTTATTCTAATTTTTTTTTTTTTTTAATCAGCCAAATTCATTTAGAATATTTTTCTTTTTCATTCCATCACTTTTTTTAATAGGTATCCCACACTGTAATATTAGATCTGCCAGGTTAAAAATTTAGTGCAGATGACCTTGCAATTAAGGCATTCTCTAGACATTTATGTCATAGTGAATTATTTTCTCCTTTGATCATAGTAGCATTTTTTATATCAAAGTTTTGGTCAGTTATGTTATGGTGGGCAAACAATGCATTTGATGTATTATTTTGTAAGATGTCCCTTTGTATTCATATAATCTTTTTAGATTCCTTGAGGTTTCTCCTATGTAATTTTTGTGACAAGTATTACAGGTGATGGAGTAAACTCCTCCTTCAGATTTTAGCTTATTGTTTTGTTTAGTATTTACTAAGTCTTTTATTGTTTTGGCTGTAATAGTAACAACTTTTATGTTCAGTTTAGATAGATTCTTTTCAATTGTAGATGTGATTGAATTAGTAGGCAGGATAATATATTTTTTGGATTCATTAGGTCAGAAGGGGCTGTTTTTTTGCTTATTTTATGGTCCTTTTGTTTCGCATTGAATATAAAATAATTAGGGTACTGAAGAAGTTTGAAAATGTTTTCAATGTATTTCGCCTCTTCTGGAATGCAACTCCACAAAAATTATGTTGTAACAAAGTTCAACTATGCCAAACTATCAAACGAGTGAGTGACAATCAAAGCAACAAACTGAGATAAAACTTAACTACCTATGCAGCAATAGCATGTTGGAAAGCCTAATCTTATAGAAAATCTATGGGACATAAAGGTTTCCAATACAGAACAAGAAGCCCTCAGCTTTGGTTTAAAATTTACCACCAGAATCCGCAAAGGAGACATAGTAAACACTATAGTAAAAAATCATAAGCAAAATGACTCCAAATTCACCGAAGGTTTCATCTAAGGCATAATCACTGCTGCTATAGAAACCAACAATGAAAATACCACTGAGACACTTAGATACACTAAAGAACCTAACGAGAAATAAGGAAATCCACATCACCCCCTCTGACAAGAGAGGAGGTATTGTGATCATGAACAAAAATATAAACATAGAAGAAAATTAACTCACTACTCAATGATACCATCACATACAAAAAATAGACAAATAAAACATAACTACTGAAACACAAAATTTAACAAAGAAATCAGGAATCTAATTAAAAATGAAAATAAATCATGGCACAGACTTATAGAATATCATCCCAGAACAACCAAAGCCTCCCTAAAATCTAAAAAACTGGTATACCAATGTGTCCCATTATCTCAGGAATAGACCGTACTCTCATTCTAATATCACAATGTGGACTAGTTACTTACTAAAGTGATGGGAAAACTCTAATTGAATTCAACTGATAGAAAAAAAAAAAAAAAAAATTCTTAAATTCCCAGCACCCCTCAGTCGTGTGCATGTGTAGTTGTACTAACATAACAAATTTAGTCCACAAAGTCCTGAAGGACAAAACACACCACAAGTAAACTTCTTCCACTTTGTCATACAATTTCCCCAATAATGTTCTTATATGTGTGTGTGTGTGTGTGTGTGTGTACATACACATGTATAACAATAAGTGTCACAAATTGAACAAATTGATTCAATATCAAATGGTGGAATCCAACTATAAAGAGTATTATTGGTTTGAGAAAACAAAAAAACAAAAAAAAAGGAAACTGAAATGAGTTAATAATATTTACTGATTTTATTTACTACTGAAGATGAATTGAGAAAATATTGTTTACAAGCTGAAATAGTTATTATTAATACATTGCTTTTTGTTTTTTTTCTGTCTTTCATCCACAAAGCAAAAGCCTGTATCTGAGGGCAGAAAGAGAGTTCAGAGATTTGCTTTAAGTGTCATAAAATGGCTTAATCAGGTTACAGTCTGAATTCAATTTAACAATCAACACAAATTCAGTATTTCCTGTCAACAAGCTACCAGAACAAGGAATGCTTTGAGCAAGTTTCTTTACCAATTCGCTTCAGGTATTACTTGGTTCTTTCACTCAGGCCACTTTAATTAAATTGCCACAGAAAGGCATAAGACATTGGAAAGAGCAAGAAACAAACAAGACAAAAACTGTCAATAGATTATCATAAAAAATAAAGACAGATAGTTTGATAATTATTAAATAATGAATGGAAAATTTGACAACATCAAAATAATAATAATAATAACAATATTGATATAATTATTATATAATAGTTATATTATACTGTGGTTGATTTTTTATCAGGGAGGTGACTTTGTGATGTTATCAGTCAGGGGAGGTAATCCCAGCATGCAGCATCTTTGGAAATTACCTGAAAAAACAGACCACAAGCTGACCCAAGCCTTGTGATGAGAGCCATTGATGGTTGTGCTAGCACAAAGTCACAAGTCATTGTGACCGAGTGTTTGCGCATACTGGCTTTGATTATGACAGATAATGCACACACCCTCCCTCAGAAACTGTAACTAAGATCCACTCCACATAGTTTCAGTCTGAACCAGAGGTGAGCTCTGTGGGTGTTGAACAAACACAAATGTGCCTGAGCAGGCGTTTGCAACAGGGATTGGCTAACCATCCAAATAGACAGGCATACTCGGATACGAGTGGCCAGCCATTGTAGTAACTCTACCGTTATTCTCAAATAACGTGATATGATTTTTTTTTTCCTTTGGGCATATTTTAATTTTAATATTTAATTATTTTAATGCTGATGTTTTATAAAACTAGAATTTTTTTGCAACACACTAACATATGTTAAAATCCTCACAGTATTTAGCATTGTTGAAGTTATCGCTAACATTGTTGAAATATACAAACTCCGTTTCATTCAATTTCTCAAACCAATCGATGATATTTGAATATGCTGATTTGCTTGGGAAAATACTTTGAAAAAAAAACCCTACTTCTAATAATATCTTTCATTTAATTTAATTTTATAGGACTTCATGGTAAACAATATCTTACTATCCAGCCTAGTAAAACCAAATGTAGTTTGTACCCCTTTACCTGTTTGCACTTCTCCCCAGAATTTGGTTTGGATCAGCCAATATATAGCTAGTTTAGATGGTGTGATGGACAGATTAACAGAAGTCACAGAATTTTATATATAGATAGATGAAAGATAAATAACCATTTTGATTCATTTTATTCTGTTCAATTCTGTTTAATACTTATACAGGGTGCAGCAAAAAAATACCTCCCAGAAATACCCCTGACTTACCAATTTATTGATGTATTTCTGCTGCACCCTG